CAGGAATTTGTGGTGGAATTTGACCAGAATTAAACCTGGTACTTTATTCAGCTTTGAAATGTGCAATGCATGAAAATAAAACTGTTTTACTGTCATCTTGTGTGTATTAGGCATTGCCACTTCTTTTTACAAATCTTCACATTCATCACCAAATAGCTTGAAAAGCAACAAAAGGTTATAACTGACTTGACCATAGATGTCATGAGGCCTCACCATTGTACCTTCTCCTCCTGTTAGCTCCAGCTATTGCCGGATCACTGTCAATCCAGTCATACACAATAATGCCCCATTACAGTTGGAATGGTTTGTTAAATTTTATAGCACTTAGAAACGCTCCTGTGGTACCAAAAATGTCTCGATTCAGAATTGAACATATAATACCTGCCAAATTTGCAGGTTTGAAACCACTTCCAAGAAGAATTAAAAAGGCCCTCTTCACAGCTGAAATAGGGCTATCAATACTTGACTTGTCTGCCCATGTGAAATAGCGGGTTCTTTTCCCTGACGTCGCAATTTAGTTTAAAATAGCTTTGATGATGACAGGGTACACGCCAGTGATAAAACCATAAAGATGACAGTCTAATCTTACAAAGATGACCGATCACTGATAAGAGATTAAGTCATACAACATCTGAAAAACCAGATTATCTGTCTGCTAGCGTAGTGTCTGTGTACACCTCCTGCCGAGCCATGCTGAGATGCCAACGACATACAAAGATGCTACTTCTCAAAAACCAGAAATGCTTCACAGAATTTCTCAAAGCATTGGGATAAAAGAAAGAAAACAAGTAAGAAAACAAGCTCTGATCTTATATTGAGCTTTTTTTGTCAAACATTCATTTTTCAGGCTAGTAAAGTATTTATATGTACAGCATATAAATAATTTAGAGACACTATAAAAAGGTCTAAATTAACCAATTCTGCCCTATAATTAGCACTCACAGCTATGCTGGCAATGAGTGGATGATTATTAAACACCTTTTATTATGGGTTTTATGTACTACAATAAAAAATGAAAATTATACTTACAAGAATTATTAGACATGCTGGTCCTATAAAACTCCATATAAAGTTATTCTTTGTGCTGAGCCAACATCTGAAAAGTAAATAGCAGAAAATGTTTTTAAGTGTGGTATTGTGACTATTGCATTCTTATGTATGTTTCCTTAGACACAGAAACAGTCACTTACACTTCTGTGGTGCCATAGTACTTGTATCCCAGTGCAGCAGAGATTCCTACAACCACAGCTGGACTGACGTAGCCAAAGACATAGAAATTTTTGTGCAAGAAACCCTTGTTGTAGATGACTCCCACAACTATAAGGTAGAGGTGAATGCCTTCAATGCACATCCATGCAAAAGCAGCTAGAAGGAAATAATGGAGTAATCCAGCAGTAATTGAACAGAAGAGCTAGAAATTCAATCAGAGAAAGCAAGAGTCATAATTCTATTAATATCTCTCTGTTAATATAACACCATATGCACAGCAACCTAGTGACTCTGAAGTGGTGGTCCAACAGCCCAGATGTAATGCTGATTGACAAGAACCTGGCCTATATCCATGAGCCTGCTTGTTCATGAGTGTTTTCTGTAGCAACTGGTAAAATAAAGGAACTGCATTCAACTTTTAAAATTGTTGCACGTCCTCACAGAAAAACTGCATAAAAAAAGTTGTCAAGGCTGATCCCATTTTGAAAGAAATGTATTTAGGCATCACCAGGAATTAGTTCTGAAATAACTTTTTTTTACTACAACGTGTTTGTAAAATAATATTTCTCAATCAATCAATACTGCAGTGCTACTTCAGGGATCATAGCTCATACATCTGAAAGGAATTTTAAATCCCATTCAGTTGTTAATAGTAGTTTGTGTGGGTTTTTTTAAATAATTTATTTGTAATTCAACTTCCTAAAATAATCTGAGATGCAAGAATCAACAGGCCAACCTGTATGAAAAGCAACAGGGGCAGGTCAAGATCTCACATGTACAAATGAAAGGGGTCCTCCAGCCAACACCACAATATCTGAAACGCCAGCTTGGGACTGCAGCTCTGGCCTGCCTTTTAGGGAAAATTGTCACCAACAAGAGAGCCACCAGCATGGCTTTGTACAGCATACAAGTGGACATGGAGAGTGAAAATGCCAAAGACATTGAGACTACAGTCTCGACTAAAATGACCAAGTTTAAATGAAACCCAAAGCCGATATACAGCAGCTCAGACAAAGGCCCTACCTCTTTAAATTACCATTTTATATTTCCTGTTACTAGGCTGGGAAGTCAATGTTACTAGAATATTCATACTGATAACAGGAAATACTGGAAGTGGGTGGAAGATCATATCTTATACTGTATATTTGCTTCACAGCACAAAATCAAGATGCAAGTGAAAACTACCCACCTTATTGTTGTTCATATTAATTCCAATCAGAAAAATAAGTTCCGACAGGAAAAGGCTGCAGCAGAGGTTTTTGTGAATTGTCGTTCTAGTGCTTTGAATTTCACTGAAGAACCAGAATGTAAAAATGCACATGGAGAGGCAAATCAACGAAATAATTATTCCTAGCTGAGTGATTCTTGTAAGAATGTTATAATTTGTAACACCCTGGGGGAAAATTATAATATAATATTTAAAAGAATAGCTTTGTACCATCTCAAGAAAGACCTCATACTATAATACAGTTCTTTTCTTATTTTCTACAAAATATTAATCAAAACTGTTTGCAGAGTTGCAGTGCAAATGTACACTTTGGATAATCTAAAAAGTATTGGGTTTTTTTGTGAGACAAACATAACTCTAAGGGAAATTAGTAATGAACTGTATTTTTTTTTTGGATTTTCTGATATTTCTTAACAAAACTTTTTATTAACATCAGTGTCTCCTGATATGATTTTAAAAATCAGATCATTTTAGTGAATGACAAATACACTGGCAGTAGGACATATATTAGTATGACATAAACATTTTCTAATATAAAAGGACTTATCACAGCAGTGACTTAGATAAGCAAAATTGAATAACCGTCTTACTGACTTTGCAACATGATCAAAACAAGACTCTGAAATAACAATCACTTCAAACAAATGCTATTCTTGATCTGTAACATGAACATTCTCCAAAGAAACACAGGCTATTTTAATATTGGATGTGAATACTTTCTGTGTAGAAACACAGTTACATTTGCTGCTTGGTATTTGCAACAGAGTCTCTGCAATACATGACTGCGCATCAGCATAAGGATAGTATTCAGCTGACCATAAAATGTATCTAAGTATTTTTTTTTTCTAAATAAAGGAGCAGAGATTATTCTTCTCCCAGCCTTCCTTTTTAAAATAACTATATAAGTACCTGCAAAGGTTTTAAATTTGAACTGAAGACTTAGGATGCTATTTAGCAACCAGGAAACAGCCTCTATCAGCATGAAATTCACAGTGTGAGAGAACCGTCTCAATACAGTATATTCATGCTAATATTCTGCTTGCTGTCAGTTCTGATACCTTATAAAGCTGCCTCCTGAGGCAGGACCTGAGCTCCTGCAGATCCCCACGTAGAGCCTGGAAATCTATGGAGCCTTTTAATATAAGAACATGAACTGAGTGGTCATTCTCATGATTTTGTGCGGGTCATGAGTGTCTATTTTTAGTAGTCATAAACTTCAAATTGATTATGCCGTTGCAAACTCTCAGGAGAGAATTTAAAGCAGATTTTTACATGCCAAGGTTAGACAAATGGGTGGCAAAGTTTTGTGAGAGAGAAATTCAGGGCCATATGGTTGCTGACCACCAATGAATGCCAGTTAAATCCCATAGCAGTCTTAAACCAGGATTTAAAATTAAAAGCAATGCACCAAAAATAAACACGACAGACTGTGTACTTGGAACAAGATACTTTGCTGCATCACTGCTCTGTAATACTGCAGAAAGGACATAAGGAAATTCAAACACATATGGGAGGAATTTTGTTTGCTCTGTGCACAATAAATTGTGTGTTTGCTGAACAAAAACAAGAGACAACTTTAAGGAGGGAAAGTACATAAGTTGCACTGAAATAAAAACATAAGGAGTGAAGACAGGAGAAAGTATCAGGTAAAACACTAAATTAAAATAGCACTTACAACAGAGCCGCCTGAGGACATCAAAACAGCAAAATGAGTCAGATGATTACATTTGCATGAGATATGAGTGGAGTTGGAATGTGTCAGCTCACAGCCTTCTGTAGCCCAGTTGCCATTCATTGTGTCTGCTGAGTAGTTCCAAAATGCACATTTAATATCTTTATCCGCAGTCTGGAACAGAAACAAGATGTTTTACTCATGGCAAAAGGCAGGATATTTCCCATCAAGAGACCTTCCTTACGTTAGCCAGCGCAATTCATTAAAAATTGCTTGTTATCATTGGAAGGTTGGGAAACAAACAGCACACTCTGCAAGGCCTATTTCAGGCAATTAAAACATATCTGGGGATGGAAGCATTTTATCCACACAGCTAACATCCCACCAAACATGCAGGCTAATCAGATTACTGAACCCTTCTGGCACATTGCAAAGGTGTTGGAATTTTACCTCCTGAAAACATTGTTTTGTATACCCCTGCACCTGCCGAACGTGGACTAAACCCCAAGGTTACAGCCCCGTTGCTTGTCCTGCTCATAGACCCTTCCAAAATGAGCAGTTTGAAAACTGAGACTTATTCTGCGCATTTTACAAAGTACCTGGGACAAAGCCAGGGTCATGCCACACCTGCTATATGAGGTGTGACGACAGCGATGGATAAGACTATTGGTATTATTTATTATGGTTAGTGCTTACTAACACTAGTCAAAGATAAGGTCCCCACTGTACTAGATGCTGTATAAATATATGCAAATTTATACAAAGGTGATCTCCAGCTCAAATATTAGAAGGGAAGTAACAAATTTTAAAGCTGCACAACCAAGGTTAACACCTTGCCCCACTGCCCACCTCCCTACAGAGTCTCACTTGTTATGTTCCTGATAATTTTTCGTGCCATGTAAGATAATTTTTCACATACAAGTGAAGTCATCAAAATCTCTATATACTGGAAGTAAACCTCTCAGCATTTAATTAATGTGTTCAGATTTCAGAAATAATAAAAGTTGCAGTACTATAGGTTCTGCTATTAACTCCTAGCTGCAGGTTAACTTTTTGCATTAACTTTGAAAAATTTCTTTTTTTTTTTTTTAATAGGCTTTTTTAACCATCTGACAACTTTTAGAAAAACCCACCTAAATACAGAATAGTTAGGATCCTGCAATATTCTCTGGTTCAAGCATCTACATTTTGTTCATACTGCAACCCAGTAAAGATGGCATTGTTGCCCTTGCTTTAGTCCCGTAGCACTTTTCAGCCGTATCATATTTAGTATATTGCACCTAGGATTCACATTTGAGATTGTCATATATTTATCTAATAAGATTAAACTCACATCAGCAAACAACAGAATTATATCTCAATATATCATACACTGCAGGTGTAGCTACATCACATAAAATAGTTCTATTTTGTTTTGTTTTATTTGAAGTTGATAATAATAAAAAAAAAACCCTTACCTTGGCATACTTTAAGGTAAATGTTATTTTCTCGAGCTCATAGAGTGTAGGTGGATTTGAGCTAATTGCAACAGCTATAACTGATGAGCTTACTGTCTGTCTCTGCTCCGAAGTATCTTTTAAGGAATGGTTTTTAGGAGATGAAAGCAAAGAACCAATATTTCTATACCGCAGAAAGACGACTGCAATGGTGCCTATCAATCAAACAGACCATGTTTAGTAGTTTGTGGGTTTTTTATAGAAGAACAAAATTGAAGACATTAAGGAAACAATAAACAATAGACATTATTACTGCTATTGCATAAAACATGCAAAACAGATGGAATCTTTGTGGAATACTTATAAAAATGTTTTAGAGACAATGAAATATAGCTTTATTTAAAATAATGTAACTGCCATTAGAAATAAAAATGTGTGTTCACATGGGAAATTCTAATTAGATATATGCATATATATTTTTTTTCTGTAGTAATACATGTTTGCCTCTGTTCGCCAATTGACTACACGTGTGGTGTCAGGTCTCATTAACTAAAGCGGCTCAGACCTGAGGCAAATAGTGGGCCTCTCTGAAGTATTTGGCTTGCTTTGACTTCCGTTACAGTGGAGTCGGGATGGAAGACATGTTGGGAAAAAAGAAGCAAAAAGGTATTTTAGGATGTAGTGCTGATCTGAAAAAATATCAGGATTTTTCTCCCTGGTACCAAGATAAAGCACATTTTTAGCTACTGATAGGTGATGAGATTCAGATTAGCTTGAAAACTAAGATTTAAAAAAATCTTTTCTATGTTTATTAGGCTAGGTGGTTTGATTCCAGAGCTGTTTATACACATTATTTATTTTTAGTGGTGACAGTAGTCGTAAACCATTTCTGTAGCACTCTGAGGTCCAAGCCAAGATCTGGGCCCTGCAGGTTATGGTAATGAAGAATACACGGTCTTGCCACAGAGAGATACTCTCTAAATAGAAAAGATGCACCAGTTTTTGGAGGAGGAGTGACAGAGAGAGCTGAAGGCAAGAGCCCAAAGTCACACAGCAGATCTATGGCTGAGAAAAGGATTAAGTTCAGGTCTCTGGTGCCAAAGTCCAGTTTAAAACTCACTGGTTACTCACTGTGCCTCTGGAAGTGTTAGAAATATCAGTCCTGAGACAATAAAGGGGTAGATGAGATGGTGATAAAAATACCTTGATTCCTCTCTTGTTAGCAGGGCTGAAGCTCAGTTTCAGTAAAGCGCACATTTGGGTATTTACTAGTGGGTACAAGTCTATCCAAGGTTTACCTTGGAACTACTACTAGCTAGTATACTACCTACCACTAGGATCATCCACCTACTCTCTAACCATTGTTTCTTACCATTAGGATGAGATTCCTCTCTCTTCTTTGGAGAGATCTTTATGTAGTCTCCCCCCGTGTATACATGAGGGTGAATGTGTTTCATGTGGTGTGAATCAAAAGCAAAAACCTTGAGTGCTGCAAAAGAAGAAAAATACTGTACAAATCACAGCTCCATTACGCTCTACCATAATTTACAGTTGGGTTAATAAATGTGCTATTGGGTTGCATAATTACCGTGAATTTTAAGAATATATCATTGTGCCAAATATTTCAAGAAAAATGCTATTAATATAGCATGTTTGCTTAAACCTCTATGTTTTGTTATTTTCATGCATACAGTTTGCTCTCATACTTTTTACTCTTTCCATGAAAAATATAGTCTTTTATTTACCTTGCATTAAATTAGGCACTGGAAAGAATAATGTAGGTTACTCTAGGAAGAGCTATTGCTTTATTAAAAATGTATTTTTGAAAGGGGCCACAAATCACAATTATAAAAAGCAAAGCATAAAATTCTCTGCTGAATAGTAACATTTGATAAAAGCCAATTTTTGAAAAGTATATATTTTATAGTTATCTATCCATGCTACCAAATGCACATTGCACCATGAAATAATGATGTGTCTTGTCAAAAAGCAAACAAACAAGTATCACCCCTCAGGACAAAAACTACATTAGAGGACATTGAGCTCTTTACTTGGTTCATTATAGTGCTGAGTTTCAATCACACAGGATGGGAACAACAAAAAAAGTCAATCAGGACTTTTTAGAAAAACAAAACAAAACAACAAACAAATCTAAAACTTGACTGATGGAGGAATATCACTAAGCTAGACCATCTGCATTGCTTATAGCACAGCACACAAAAATAATACAAGCTATTCAATAGACCAGCTGTCAGAAAATGTTTGTCAGGACATAAGAAATAGTTTTCTGTGTCTGGAGTTTTGAAAAGCTTGTAGTTCAAGAGCTTGCACCATAAAAAGCTATGGAGAGAGAGGAGTAATGTTGTAGGTCTTGTCCCAAAAATAAATGTGTGGGGCATGTATGAGCCCTGTGCAAACTATATTTTCATGCTGAAAAAAAGAATTGAAACTTCTGGTGTTTGCGGCCAGTTTGGTAAAGAGCTTCCCATTTCAGAGCAAAAGCAAGCCAGAAAATCATCAACCTTTCAACATGGAAGTGCCTCCCTGTTCTCTTTATCAATTGTTTTTGTCACCTTGGTCTGACTGATGTCTACACTGCCACTGGAGGCTACACCGAAATCCTCTCTCTTCTCACTCTTCATGGCCTCAGCTCTGAGGCCACAAGATCCTCTGCTCCCAGCCAGGATGGCAGGGGAAGAGAGGCTTTACTGCCAGGTCCTGGCACCATTCTGGATCTGCCGCACACCCAGAGGTGCTCTGTGCTGACATAAATATATCTGCTTCTACAGAGTTTATGCCATGGAAAAAATCCCTCCCTATTTTTTCATCACTTTTGCTAATTTAGTTTCAAACAGGTGGGGGAAGAACAGGTAGTTTGACCTGCCTCAGGACCAAGGGACAAATCTTTCTCATCAAGTCATCTTATAAAACGGCAAACCAGTAAGAGGCACTGAAGGACTGCACTGAATCTAAAATAAGAAATCAGGTCACATACAGTTTGAACAGTTCAGAAAAACAAAAATGAAAAAGTGTCCGTTGCCAAAGGAATCAGCAGTGCTTTATGAGGATTTTCAAAAGCGGCTGGTATTAGCTTTACTCTGCTCCCATGGAAGGAATGGTAAAACTAATATTACCACAGGAGAATCAGTAGGAGTTGACATGAAGACACCAGCACACAGGGGCAAGGTAGGAGAGCAAATGGTGCAGTTGAGACTAACCAATCCTCCTCCTCTGAAATTCCTCGTAAAATTAAAGTCACACAAGATTGGACTCACTAGGTACAATCCTTATTCCAAGTTCATTTACAATACCTTCACAAAACAAAATGAGTAAAAAAATCTTTCTAGAGCAAATCCAATTTTCATTCTGCTGGTGTTTTTATGCATATAAGATGCATAGGACAATTTTGTGCTTATAAGATACATCTGGATTCACTGTGACAGCATGACTATAATGAGAGATTGAAAGAAACTCTAAAAGGACAACTTCCCACAGCCTCTCAAGTTTTTTTTCTGGGCTCTGGGCTCAAACGTTCAATCTTTGAAAATTATGATACCTACACTGAAAGTCAGGTGTTAGTTATGAAACTCGTACAAATTAACACCTGTTTGTTTCACATAACACCATTTCTAATCTTCATAATTGTGCTGAAAAGCTCCTCAGTGTAATCCACATCTAAAGTATACCTTAGATTAATTTTCTTTTTCTTACCTATGTCACTTGCATTAGCATCTAGCTGTGTTGTCTTTTTGAAGTTCTGCAACATGAGAAGTGTCGCTTGTTCTGCAGTGTGCATCAGCTTAGTCAGACTCCGTCTCTGGTTATCTACAGGAAGAGCTTCCCAGGCTGTAATTTTGTCTTTTTGTAAAAAGTTGTTCACAGTGTTAATGAAAACCTGTAAATAAAATAATATTTTTAAGCAGAAGAGTCGTACACTATTTTCAAAATAAGAAAAAAACCCTGTAACTTTAAGGCTCGGTCCACTCACGTTAATGGTTGTATTACGAAGTGCTTCATTGTCAGAAACAGAGTAATGCTTGGTATTCAGCGATGAATAAGACAGTGCTTCAACATATGAAATCACATCTACAGGTAAAAGTGGTCCCAAAGTATTCTTATTAATTTCTTGCAGCATCTCCAGGGGTGTTTTTAAATTATTGATCTGAAAAATACAAGAACTCACATCTTAATGAAACAGGTAAAATCACATTTCTGCAAGTGAAAGTAAACCCAATGCAAATGACTGATGTCTGTGAATTAACATACTAGCTTTTAAGATGCTTGTGCATAAAAAGAGACACTAATTAAAGACACTATAAACTAATGGTGTTATATGTCTGGTACAACACCAGTATAACAACAACATTTAAAAAAAACAAAAGTGCTTTCATTCCACCTTTTTTTTTTTTTGACCACTGCAGCTCAGTTTTATTTATCCTATTGCTCCAAAATAAACTTGTAAATATTCTGCAAAAATAATTAAATATCAGTGATATAGTTACTCTGTTGACTCATTTCTGTTCCATTTTAGCTGAAGAGGTGGGAGCAGGTAGGCAGTGTCTCTATATTTTGTGGTTGTTTTTTTTCAAATGTGGATTATACAACATGTATTTCAGTGAAACTGTACTGCCTATTTCACCTTCACTGCTTCAGTTTATGAACGGCTAAATGCCCTTAAATAAGACCATTAGTTTAAAAATAGGCTAGGGTGAGATGAAGATTAAGATTGCAAGTTTCAGTCTCACAGCTGAATAAGAAAAAGAATCCTTACTTCATGATATTGAAATCTAATGAGATTTTATCCATCAAAAAAACTTCCTACACCTGATTTTGTAAGATCCATAGTCTCTGCTGCTGAACAGCTTTTATGGAGCTTGCTTCATTTTGATTGCAGCAAAATAGAGCTAGAATACAGGCTAAAAAATAGGCTAAAATCTGACACACTGTAATTTACGTAAAATTGAGGTGTTTTGATTTATCACTTTGATTTAAGTTTAGTTTGATTTCATATTTTTTTTTTAAATCACTCTAATATCCTGCTGTGGCATTTACCATGTATTTGCATGTAAATGTAGTAAGCACATATTATATTTAATACAATGTATTACATTGCAGGTTAACACAGAATGCATGTTAGTACAGCGTGTATCTTACACTAGGTAACTAAAAGCCTTCAAATTAATATCTTTCTGTATCTTGTAACTTTAGTAAACTACTTAATATCAAATGCAAACATACAAATGGTTTTGATTTATTCATGCTTATGCTTCATTTAGCCTTTTAAATTAGACAACACTATAGCTGAACACTAATGAATAATGAATTAATTAATATTTCTTTAATTTGTTCCTGGAATTTGTACTTCTGGTGAACAAAAAAACTCTTGAGTCCAGAGTCTTGAAGTCTATAAATTCTCTACCATTTTACATACTATGCTTTGAGAAGTAAATATACTAGGATGCTATTGCTCCATTTTCTGTTTTGTCACTTTTTGACATTACTTTTGCAAGCTATCTTGCTGCCTTTCACTCTGAACAGGCAAATAATAGCCCATCAGTAAATGCAGCAATGTGTAACTTCAGAAACTACAGCAACAGTTGAGTGATTACTACACTTCTGAATTTTTCATGCATCATGACTCACTTTGCTGGAAACAGAACACACAGATTCCCAGCAAGTTATTATCATGATTTGAACATACAACCCACTTCAAAGAATTTGAAATTATTAAAAAGACTTCTGTAAACATGCTTAGGTTCAATTGTATGCTTCTTGAAATTGTTAAAAGCTCCTTAGGAACTATTATAATTGAAATAACAGTTTCAAACAGAAACAAAGGATTTGGAAATTAATCTATAAACCATTGTTACTTACTCCAGCTAAAGTTCTATTAATATGTTCAGTTACGCAATCTTTGTATAACTCACACTTGGCCTTTGGATTTTCTGTAAAAATTAAAAAGAAACTAATTATATATTGCAGTTTAATCAATATTCAATATATCCTCATTGTAAGAGCTCTTGTCTAAACAATTCCCCAAACCACCAGCATTCTGAATTTATGCACAGAAGACACAGCACTCCATTCTCAAACTTCAGCTACTGAGACTTTATCTTGGCCAAAGTTACAGCGCTGGATTGCACTCTGAACTTTTGGTTTACTCAGGTAGAGAGTTTGGCCCCTTTTCTTGGGACTTCCACAGGGGAAGTTAAGAGGCAGCTTGAATTTTCAGAGAGAAGCACAGATCTGACAACTGTGAGGAGGCATCCATTATTTCAAATGGATTTCATCACAATGTTTAGCAAAAATACATTTACAGAATGATTCTATTCTCAGGAAATGTAAATGTTGCTGCCTCGCCTCTTTTTCCTGTCTCGCTGATCAATCTAACTGAAGATAAAGAGGCACTGGTGGGTTTCTCAGAAGATATAGCTCTATAATAACAGATAAACCTTTATAGTATCATGTACCTTGGCAGGAAGTGCCATCATTTGGCTTAAACTGTAATTTTCCTGTGGATGGTTGATAACCTTCCTTACAGGAGCAGTTAAACCCTCCATCCACGTTTTCACATTTTGCATGATCTCCACAGGCAACAGTTCCTTCATTGCTGCACTCATCTACATCTGCAAATATCGTGAGAAATTGAATTTTTATTAAGTATTTACAGACTAACACCTTGCTGCTTTGTTGATAATAGCCCTGCACACTGCAAGCAGTTTAATAATAAAATTTCATGGAATAAAAAACCCCAAAAACAACAAAAGGCAAACTTAATGGCAAAATGCCTCCCAATTATAAAACTTAGGGATTAGAAGGATAAATAATAATTGATCATATTTTTATACCACCACTTTTATTACTATATAATACTGCATTGTTCATGTTTTAAAACCGTGAGTTTAAATATTAATTCTATCATAACAAAATGCTCGGCATGATGCAAATCATCTGAAATCCATTTTTCAGAGATTAGACTAAATAGATTTTCTCAGCCTTATGATTCAGTTAGAAAACAGAAAGAAAACTGCAGCCTTTTCTTTTAAGTCACTGCTTTAAAAAGATGCTACAAAAGATCACATCTATCCATCTCATTAATCTAAGATTTAAGCTCTGTGCCCTTTAAAGTGCTTGGCATCTCTCTTTTTTTTTTTTTTAAAATTCACATTTAAATCCTGTTTGCCTAAGATGCCTTTTGTGCTTCTAAATAAGTTGCCATTAGGTAGACAGGTTCGGTAACTGGGTGGGGCACAGTCCAAGAGTAAAACCCATGAATTCCAGTAAGGGAATCCATGAACTGATCAATTTAGGAGGGCTGGGTACTAACTCCCTGGCTAGAGTGGGGATTATTTTGCATTATTTGGTTGGCTGAGGATAAAGATCGAATAACTCAAAGGAGAAAGCAAACTGGGAACAATACCAAATAATTCTGAAGAATGAAGTAATGGACTGTGAAATGCTGTGCTGGAAAGGAAAAAAGAGTGAACAGCTTTGGGACAGGTATATCTGATGAAAAGAATTGAAAAATGAAGAAATGAGACTGAGCAGAATTAAAGGAACAGCCTGAGAGATGAAGAGGCTGAGAACTGAACTAAATGACAGCAAAGGTAGAGAGGGGATGGGATGAACTGGAGAGGAAGACAACCTAAGTTAAGAACTGGTGTGACACTGAATTTGTGAAAGAAATTTGTGAAAAAGGAGAACTGATTAACTGATTAGTGGAGCAGAAGAGCCATCTGAGTTGATAGGAGGTCTTTGTGCAGCCAGGTGGGTTTTAAGGAAAGTCAGAAAGCAGATATAGGGGCTGGAAATGCACTATTAGTGCACAGGAACAACTTTTGCACTCTTATTTTGATACATGATTGTTGGTAGTTTTCAGAAAGGAATGTAACAGAAATGAGCAATAATGTTTGTGAAATAGGGTTGCTAGAGAAACGGAAATTGTGGAAGAATAGAAAAATGTACTGCATGTCTGTGGCTATATCTAGGGAATGCAGAAAGATGTCTGAAGGGTACCTGGGGGCTGTCTGCCTATTTGGACAGCATTTTTGATAACTTACATTTTTTACTAATGGGAAGCAAGCCTCCACAACTAATCAGATGAATGTTTGGGTTTTTCGTTTTGTTTTGTTTTTTTGTTTTGTATATGGAACAACTGTAAAATGCATTTAAACTTTCAATGGAGTATTCCAACATTTTCTGCATCCGCACACTTTTTTGCTGTTTTGTGCTTAATTTCCAATTCCCTTTCTTCTGTCCACAATCCTAGAGGTCTTCCTGTGGTTCAAGGAGGTGGTTGCAGCCCCACCTCACTTCCACATCTCTATTTTCCTCACTGAGCAGTGGCTCTGATTTGGACCTGAAATGCTCTATTTTAAGCCTGAGGTTCAGAAGCTCCCATTGAAAAGCCATTCAGGCTGCTGCACGGCACAGGCAGGCAGGAGAGACGGGGCTGGAAGCACATTTGCCCTCCCCGGCACAACCACCTCTGCTCTTCATCAGGAGCTGCCAAGGAGGCTGTGTTTGAATGGGTTGGTGCAATCACCAGAGTTTAAAGTATGAGGTTAAATTATATCCATCTGTGTGAGGGCAATAGTTTGTTTCCATATTTAATGCCCCTAACTGCAAATGTTTCTTTTAATGAGCCGAGTTTTGCATTATCCATATTTGTACAGTTTCTGTGACCTCAGTATTCATAGTCATGGAGCCAACCATGCTATACACCAATGAATCTGGCAAAAGTGAAGAAAAGGGGGGAAAAAACGTGATATTGTGCTACTCACAGGATACCTCATGATTAAATGCTGTAATTTAAAGACATGAGGCTAAAGTTCTTACTCTTGGCATTTAAATAATGTCTCACACCAGTAGATTATCACGATCTCTTTGAAACAAGTGGGTGCCTGTCAGTGCCCTATTGTGTAACTCTGTGTAAGACAGGCAAACTTTGAATGAGTTGAAGTGGTGAGGATGAAAACCATGACAATACCAGGTTGTATAACAAGAACACACATCAGCCTTATACCAAAGATTTCTTTGGCCTTGTCAGGTACACGGTGAAGGACATGTACATCTTAGCAAGATATTCAGCATGTAACATAGAGCTAAACCACCAGCAATTGACAACAGGCTTTGCTAAAACTTACAATGACTTATAAATAAAGAAATATTTGAATACTTTCCAGACTCCCATTGCTAAGTATCAGGTTTCTATGTGATTTACTGATGCAAGTATTTCAAAATTACTATGATAATTTGCTTTTCATGAACTAGTTTGATCAATCATTTATTTGTCATTATTGGGCATTCATACAAATTATCTGTCTTTTTGTAATTATGTCAGATATTAAGTGTAATGGAGATTTTAATGAGAAGTCAGGATTATCCAAAACAACAGCAGAAACTCAAGCACCAAGGCACATCTCTGGCAACAAGATAGCTATTTAAAGTCTGATAGAGGCACCCTGTCGAGTATATGCAAAATAACTTTCTGCAGTTGAGTTGTCCATATGGAATGAGTCCATATCATGCCTATCTAATTTACTGTTTCCTGGAGAAAAACAGTCTCCTGGATGACAAAATTAAAAGGCAATATGCCTGATCTTGCAAGGTACTAATCAGCTTCATACCCCTTTCAAATCAATGAGATTGTCGGGGGCAGCCAACATTTTGTGACAGTTGCAAGAAAGCTGCTTTTAACTTCCTGCTTTGAAATACTGTGTGCAGGAGCTGTAGGTTTTTGTTTCTTTATGTTTTGTAGTTACGTCTTTTTAACTGAATATGCAATTTTTGGACCACACACGGACAACAGCTTGTCATTGCTTTCAGCAATCCAATTTTACTGGAGCTTTGGGGCAAGGATCTCAAACTGTCCTCCTTGATCTACTATGGGAGCAGGACTGGGCTGCCAAGGCTTGCGTGAGCAGTCTCCACAGACAACATTCCTGAGCAAAGGTTGAAGGACAGCAGCTTTTTAAACAGAAGAGCATTTGCCATAGCTCTGCAAAAAGCCCTGGCCTCTTGGTAAATATTCAAAACAAATCCTGGAGCTGAACTTTGAGGCTTTTGTAATAGCTCCAATCAGAAAAATAATATCACCAACACCACTTAGGCTAGTGTGAAAATAGGTTTATAACCTTTTATTTTATTTCTGTGCTTTGTCACTCCTCATTTACTGCAGCAGGCAAGGAAATTCCAATTAAATTAAAAGTACTGAGAACAGTTATTATGCTCAGTCTTGCCAATTACTGGATTGTACCTACATCACTTTGATTCTTCACCAGTCAGTCAAGACAGCTTGATGTCTACATTATACCTTCTGCTTATTAGTAGCTTGCAAGTGATTGAAAAGTCCAATTGCAAAGGACTAGATGTTCCCTCCCTGTGTCTCCATACTGTGGAAGGCAGCAGCACACACAAAGTAGAAATGAAAAAGCCTATGAATGGCACAGGTAAAAGAAAAGTTAGCAGCTTAGTGTAATGCCATACCCCATCCACTGTACAACTCCCCTGTCACACAAAAGGACGTGATGGAGAATGACTGCTTTTCTAGTACTCTCAGAAGAAGCTGAGAAAAACCTGAAGAAAACTAATAGCATGTTCCTGGAAAAGGCAGAGTGGCACCGATGTCACTTTCATTTTAAAGATGGCCATTTTCACATTTTTACTCCATTGACCAGGGTATTTCACCTTTTTATCTGCAGCCAAACAAATGTGAAGTCGAAGGAAAAAGCATGGCTTTTACACAGTAAATACATTTTAATAGCTTACACTCAGGACAGCAGAAAAATATAATCTCTAGAAATATCACATCTCTGCATTCCTCTTTTTTTTAATCTCCATTTCCTTTCTCCTTCCCTTTTTTTTCTGTCTACCTTCCTACCCTCCAGTTCCTCCTCTATCTGCATGTTTCATTGTCACCTCTTCACTAATTTGCCTGATAACATGGATGAAATACTTCTGACCCTCAACTCAACACTTAACATTTTGTTTGGATTAAGGGTGAACTGACATTTCCCAAAGCTGTTGTCCCAAGTTTGCTTTTGATCCACTACCTGGAGAGTTATAATCACTTTGTATTTGGAAGCTTAACATAGTATTGAAAGAGGGGAGGAACGCACATGTGTGTGCACATGGACTTTGAAATGGACTCGTACACAGGGTGATGTACTGCGCTTGAACCGCTGGGAACTCCAGGTACGTTTGATGACATTTCACTATAAACAAATAGTCTGCATAATGGCATACTCTTCAAAATTCAACCTATGTGTTTTTAAAGTTACTGCCATATACTTTATATATATATGTATACATAGACTAAGAAGAACACTTCAGACTTTGCAGAATCTGAAAATATTTTGCTGCCCTATAAACTTGGGTAGAATGGATACTTGGTAGTTCTGTCCTCTGATTTGTACTGGATAACTTGCACTGTATTTACAACGACAACTTTGGTGTTAGCTTCAGCTGCATATAGTACATGTTGAATACACCACTCTGAGATGCTTGCGTGCAAGTCATATCTACTAGCTTTAGCAGCAGATCCATTGGGTACAAAATATCCTATTATGGTTTCCCTGACAGATAAAGCAGAAAATTAATTGTGGATCAAAAGGTTGTCTTTAGGACTCACTCTTTGGTAAAGTAATTGTTACACTTTTTTAATGAGAAAAGGTGCCCACAGGTAATATTTTATTTCAGTGTGAGTTTTGGAAGCTCTCAGCTCCTCCCATGAGGAAATGCAAAAAGGAGAAGGAAAGTGGTGAACTAACCCCCAGTAGAGGATAAAAAAAGATCAGTCTGCCCAGTAAAGAAAAGAGGGCAAAAAAAGAAATTAACAAGCTAATAGTAAAAAGCCAAAGTGACACAAGAACAATCAGGGAAATAACTGAAAACAAAACTTCTGAAGCTGAGGAAATGTCATAACATAAAAATCAAAGCCTGGACCAGAAACGGTGAGAAAATTTACAGCTCAATGTGCTAACAGTCTCAATCCCAGCTAATTTAAGAACGATTCATAGCAGCTGGATAAAGCAGAGCTCTTTTAGATGGATATGAGCAATGGGCAAGAAATGTTGATTAGATCACTTTCTGGCTTAATATGCAGCCATTCTGCTGATATTAAGAGCAGTAAGAAAAGAGGTTGTCAGCACTCACAAACTCACAGGAGGCATATCTAGAATGAAACACAGTCAGCATAAAGGTGTAAAGGGCAATAGATTTATTTCTCATTTTCCCATTCCCCGAGGGCTGTTGCAACATACAGAGAAAATTACCAGGAGTTTGAAAAAAGAGAATAGTTACAGTTCTTCCATTAAAAGGAAATCCTAAAGGATTACATAGTTGTTCAGAAATAACATTTTTCCAAAGAACTTTTCCTCCCTTTTGATCTTGAACACGTTCCATCCAACTGCTACAGAAACAGAGGCTGACGGATAGCACAGGAGGTAGGATAACTACTGATCTTGCTTATTGTTTTTGATCAGACTTGAGAAATTAACAAAAATATCCCACCCAATGCCCCCAAACAAAAGATATTTGGAGCATAGCAGGTCAAATGTATAGGGAATTTTGCTGGTCCCAAACAACCTGAATGCAGAATACGTTGTCACTTTGTTTTGTTTTGAGAATATGACCACCTTGCTCACAGATCAGTGAAACAGGGCATAATTGGGTGGATTGGGGATTTCTGTGTTACCTTAACTGTATATTCATTGTCTAAAACTGTGACATCTGGATTAAAAATATTGTGAGCAGAGTCAAGACTTAGGTGTTACTGAAAGCAATGGCAGCTACTGTGAGAACTGTGGGCGTGAACGGAAATATCAAGTCTGTACTGGTCCAAATTGTGGGAATTTTATATTCAGACACCAAACTTCAAAAATCTGAAAGCATTTTGCTAGATTTCCATATTTAACAGAAGCAATAGAAGAAGAGTGACAATGTAAAGCTAGCTAGTAGACGTTAATAACTTACCCACACAGGAGGTTCCATCATTAGGTACAAAAGTTTGTTGACCATTGCTGGATTTGAAACCAGGCGCACACATGCAGAAATAACTTCCCACCGTGTTTGTGCAATTGGCATGCTCTCCACAAGGCTGAGTAGCATTTTCACATTCATTATCATCTGTCAAGACATAAATTATGGAGAATTATGTTTGCATTTGGCGATTGAAGAAAACAGTAAAGTAGAAGTATAAGTTTTGAATGCTGAGCTGGCACTCTTGGTGTTTGTCTGTATAGTTTTCTCATTGCCAAGGATGTAATCAGGTGTTAAGCAGCACTCTTCTGCCCTCATCCTGCGTGAGTCAACAAATCAGAAAAACAGTAGGAAACTGAAGCGAATGGCTTAATTGGATATCCACTTGGAATACAGGATCGAGATGGTACATGTTCTGCCATGGTTGTGTTTGACAACATTTTTAGTGCCCAAATATCTACAGGTAGAGAGTCACCCTGAAGATGCATCTGTGAATCTAGAATCATAGAAAACAGAGCTCAAAAGGATATAAAAAAGTCACCCAATGCCAAAGCAGGATCTTAGCAGGAGCTAAACTGACAGAATTTTTTTTTCCAGCCTGTTTTTGAAGACTTTCTGTGGTATTTCTCTGGACAAAAAAAAAACTTAGAAAATTTGTCCTACTGACTGACATGAGTCTTCAAGTATATTGTTTTTTCTTAGTTATCCCAAAGCTCTTAACAAACAGACGAGCAAGATTCACGGCTTGATCTTTACGCCTTAGGAATTGCTGTGCAAGTCATCAGTCTCGAACCTGCAAAGTTACATGATCTGTTTTACAGGGCTAATCCCATGCCCCCAATGATACACAAAAAAAAGGAACAATATACAGAAGTTTTAAGGCTACTTCCTCTCTGGAAGCCTCTGCAAGTGTCCTTGTGATCATGGGGATCCAGCTAGCTTGATCAAAGGTCAACTGAAACCATAAACTCATGCTATGAATTGTATAGTTGATCTTCTGCAGTGATTCAATAAAACTGTTTCCTCTCCAGAATATTCCAAGGTCCTTGTTGTCTATTAAATAATTATCAGACCAAACTTAAGAAAAATTTCAAAAGCTTCCTTGTCCAGATGCTCTACTTATGAAATAGAGAGTAGTGTTCACAGTATTGATAATTCCATCTTTCCAAATTGTCCCTTTCTCCCAAAGCACCCCAAAACTCTGAAACAAACAAAGAAACAAAACTCTCCCAAAGCAGATGACACTTTGAGTGGAGTTCTCTATTTTATACATCGTGAGAAATGAAAAGAGTTAAAGGCTTCCTGAAGTCTACTGGGATTTTGTTCCTGTTCTCAAGCAAAAGGTACTCATAACGTGACGAATGACAGGAAAGAATTCTAACAGGGAGAGAAATAACAATTTATTGCAGAAGAGGAACGATTAAGGAGTGTGTCAGAGAGAAGAAATATGATTTCAGAAAAGATGGCCACAGATGAGTTTCAGAAAGGTGCTTCTGATGGTCAGTGTTCTCATAAGGTGTTTACAGAGATAGGATACAGATAAGTAAAGTGTCACCTAAGCTATGGAAGTGGCAAGATTAAAGTACACCAAGAGCTGTAAAGCATTTCAGGAATACATTTCTGCAATATAACTTAGCTATGACCTCCAGAATAACATGGGAAAAGGACATTTTTCAGATTTGAAGTCTGATGTGATTTTGAATGTTACTCAGTTGACTTAGAGATGCAAATATCAACTCAGAACTGGGGCTTTCCTCAGGGGAGTTTGGATCAACAGTATCAAATGGATTACACTCATTATAACTAAAATTGAATGTAATTTAATGAGGAATTCAAGTACAAAAGGACTTTGCCAACAGACGTCAACAATATTTATTTGACAGCTTTGGTATTCATGAGAATACAGCAGAGAAAGGGTATGATTTGGATCTTAAAGAATGCCAAAGTAACACCAAATTACTTTAAGTGAAATTACAATATGGAGGAAAAAATGTGGTGTTAATCCAAGTTCAAAAGCTAAGCATGAGCATATGAAAAATCCCGTTTGGCAGGTGGCATTGTGGAGACCAGGCCCCAGGACACTTTCCAAATCATGGCAGCAAGGTCCACTTCCTCAAATGTCATTTGCGTGTGTCTGTGTGTTTGGCTCTTCTGCAATTCTGGGTTGTTCCCAGACCCTGGCACTCCATGACACAAAGGAGTGGACTGCCCTATTTTAGCTGCCAAGTGAACTTGGTCTCAGAAAAGTATTATAGATCCTAGAAAACAATATGTGTTGACTTTAGAAAGCTCATGTGATAGTAGTCATGGAAGATGAGAAGTAGAAGAACACTGATCTCTGCAGGACTTCATTCAAAGTAGAGGAATAACAGAGCTAATGAGACAAAGCTACAGGCTACATGCAAGAACTTTTCTTTTGGATCTGTTTCCTATGAGCTCATCTACATGCCTCAAAATCCAGCACTAGTACCTTTCAAGGTGGTCCAAAGAGTTTATAAGCAATATTGAAATTAATCATGCAGTGGTCATCAATAAATTCTTTATAATTATGCCTAATTAAATCTACTGGATTATGGGTGGTTTTCCTCAATATTTAGGATGCCCATAAGGGGTTTAACAGTGATTATATTGCCTTAGAATCCTTTCCTATTGAGAGAACCTGTTTCAGAAACCTTTAGAATATTGAAGAAGAATAGCAGTAACTTATACTGCAAATACAGAACAAATATTTTAAAGAGTTAAATTAATAAGGAATTTTCTTTTCAGTGTTCCCATCGTCTAATGTAATACTGAGCAGACCATGCTAGGGGATAATTTACTGGGTCACATCCTGCTTCCATTGAAATTAATGGCATAAAATTCACTGACATAAGCAAGCCGAGGGTGGTGCTCACTATGGGAAACTACTGGGTTAATGAGAAAGGCAAGTGAGGAAGACATTCTCAAGAAAAAAACGAAGTTTCATATACAGTTTGACCAGATGTGTTTAAATAATCTGCCTAATTTCACACAAAATATTTTACAAGAGCAACATGATGGCAAAAATATCTTCTAGTTCTCTGTATAAACAATTTTAATTTTTCCTTCAGACAGCAGTTCAATATGAAGCCCAGGGGCTTAAAGTAATTTTCCAAATTTTACATGATTTATAATATTATTGGATTTGCGATTTAAAGGACATCAGGAAAAAAACAACAAGATTTATAGATGGAAAAATGTTTTGGGGCTTGGGGTATTTTAGTTTGTTTTTTAAGAAATTTTTCTGTTTATACAGAAAGGATATTTTAAATTACAATAAGCATATAATCAACCTGATTTTTTGCTACCTAATTTAATTATGTCACGTGCATTCATTGCTAGCATAGATACTCACTGGACACTACAGGCACTATTTCAGGAATCCACATTCCTTTAAATTTTTTTTTTTTTTTTTTTTTTTTTTTTTCTTTTTTCCAGTAGCTGATGAAAAATTGGGAGACTTTTAGAAGCAAGTTTGGCCTAATGACAAGTTAATTATTGTGGTTAAATGGTAATGCTGCATTCAGGTCTGTTTGATACACAAGACATTTGCTCAGTAGCTGAACTGTCCTGAGAAATTTTTTTGAGAGTGGGGAGCAGGTTGTTTGGTTTTGGTTTGGTGGGAGTTTTTCTGTTTGTTTTTTTACACAGCAGTTCTATGCTATTTGGATTGTTCTAAAATCTTATCATTAAAAAAACACAACATGAGGAAGGTTATAAATAGTTTCCTAGGAAATTTGTGTTAAATAACCCAAAGATGGGTGGATACAGGAATATGTATGTACGCGCATCTGAGTATTGCTGGGATGCTTACACAATACAGATGTAAAATAAAACCGATTCTCCATTTTCAGCTTAAAAATGCAGTTACTATGTAATTTACTGTACATAAATGTAACTATGGTGTGGTTAGACGGAATCAGCTATTAGCTGCATGTAATAGTTTCTTTACTAGTCTCTTGAAAATGTATAAGAATCTTCAAAAGCAAAAAAAAATAAAATCTGAAAAACTGGTATACCCCTTTCAAACTCAATTTGAATTGAGGATGGTAATTCTGTATTAAAACTGTAATTCATTCATTAATATGAAAACACCATTGGTTTAGGATTGAGTAGATCCACTCAGAAGTTTGGGCATTGATGAGTCTTTGCCTGTCCCAGGGGACTATAAATTGAATCCAGTATTCAAACAGGCACCCTTTTATATCAGGTAACATTGTTAATTGTTAAGTAAAGTGTGTATGAAGTTTAACATTGATATAATACATCTTTGTATAAAGAAAATGAATTTATTTTTTGTTTTAGAAATTTTAAAACATATGAAATACAAAAAGGAAGAATGTGTTGTGGATTTTAGAGCCATGATGTAGTTGGAAGCTAGAGGAAACTGATGAGATTTCAGGAAAAAAAGGATAGAGGAAATTTCTTTTATCATATTCCATATAATTTCTAAAGTGCAAGTTTTACCCTGTCATATATCCTCTTTTAATACTGGGTGGTTATAAAATTATAATCTACAATAGGAAAATGCCAGGGCAACTGCAGCTACAAAACGACATAATTTGTTATTATTGTGACAAACACGAAAAAATGCTTTGGATTATCAGTTTTAGGTATAAGATTTTCATAATACTGTTTACATATTTTACATTAAAAATGCCATGAGGGGAAGTCTTATGGCAGTGATTTATCAAAACAGCTTTGAACAGTTTCCATTGCACAGACCACATCTCCATGACAGACTTTTTGATGATGCAACATATAATACGAAGAGTTAGCTTTGGGTTGAAACTCGTCTTGTTGATTCACAATCACACAAGGTTTTTTTTTTCCTTTTTGTAAATTTTGAAGTAAATGGTTTCTTCCTTCACTTCAAGGAAACAAACAAGGATGAAAACACCCGAATTAAACAGTGCCTCTTCAGTCCACAGCAAGCCATGTAAAATGAGATTTTTGTAGAAGTGAAACTTTGTATTATAGAATATATTCTGGTCTCTCTGCCATTGAATTAAATTGATATCAGTCAGGCTGATGGTCTGAATTATTTGGTAAGTGATTTGATTGGAAAACTAACAATGCTGAACTTTGAGTTTGGTCACTGGTGATAGCCAGCTGGAGGACTCCTGTGG